TTTTTTTTTTTTTATCAATTTTACATATATAATAAATCAAATTAATTATCTGTTGGTGAGATTTGATTTTGACATCCATATTGTATTTATAAAATAAATAAATCATATATACCTTTCCAATAATAATATAATTATCTATTAATGTCAATTTAAAATAAAAATTATTTATCAGTTAATATATTTATGTTTAAAGTAGTTATATAATATAAGTTAGAAAAATTATTACAATATAACATATGCAAGTCGTACAAGTAACAAATGTCATACTAAAATATATTATAATATATATTTTTTGTAAAAAAAATAAATTTTAAAAACTTTTTTCTCATTAATTTAAATTTAAGAATAATTTTTTCAACAAGGCTAGTTCATTTTTTTTTTTTCGAAACATGAGATTGTATAAGCACAAGGCAATAAGTTTTCTGGGTAAAAGCGCTTCCATACAACGGAGAATCAACTCCTAAATATCCCAAAGAGAGAGGCCTCATTCACGGCAAAGAAGAACTTTGAATCTCGTAAGCGATAACCCATCTTTTGCCTAACAAAGTTGAACCCTACAACTAACCTTAGGTTGCAAAATTAACTTGCCATTGCATCCTCAAGGGACCTAGCAAGCTAACAAAATACTAGAGCAAAGAAAAAACACTAAGCGAAGCAGAAACAACAAGAAAGCCTAACAACCTAAGAATTTGTACAAATGGAAAATTCAGTCCAGTCTTGTAATGCTAAATTCACTGTGTGCAATTCAAACCTCCATGTTTGCTCAATAGCCATAGTTCTTTGTGTTCCACATCCACCATAATAAATAGCTTGTCAATTGAATTATGGCTTCTGCACCTGGATTATCATTTATGGTTAAGTGAGCAAATTTGTGTCCACCAGTATTTAAAGCCTATGGTGTCTGCTTGTAACACTTCCCAAGAAACCGGGACTAGTCTCCAGATGAGTTTTGCTCTATGGAAGCTAAAGTGTCTCTTCTTCCTCACCACATTGGTTGCATATTTTGTCCACTGATATTCCTTTGGAATGCATGTTTGTAAGGACAGACAGAAAATTATTCAAGCAATTCCAAAAATGTCTGATTTTAGTCTTTACATCGAGGCTCCAAATCCTCTTTCTGGCCTTCTTAATTTCTGTCTGATTTGAGCTCGAACCTGCTATATCCATGTACCTCCAAAGGGTTTCATCTATTATTTTAATTTTAATTTATACAATTTGTAGTTACAAGCTTGTGCTTGAGCTAGCTTACTAAAATATAATAATAATTATAATTATTATTATAAGAAAATGCTACGGTCCAGTTACAGAACCATTCAATTGGGGTTTATAACCATTAGATCATTATGTAACAATCAGGGATAGTTGATCTAACTGTCAGAGCATCTCCAACGTGAGATGTTGATTTAATAAATGTTAGCCACATCATCAAGTTAGAAAGTGAATAAAAAAATTACTCTCCAATCCATAATGTTATGGGTTCTTTTATGATGACATGGAGAAAATAAATTTCCAAAGTGTGAAGCTCACTTTCTAGTTTTTCAAAGAGTGTTAGAAAGCCATATCATAAAAAATATAACCTATTTCACATTGATTTCGTTTTTAATTTTTTTTACCTTATTTATTATTAAATAAAATAAAATTCACATGTACTTATTTTAAGCTTTTGAAAGGGATGCATTGGAGATGTGCATTCCAAAAAATCTTTTCTTTTGACATTTATATTATATGGATTTACCAATGGAACAGTACGGTAACATGGCAGTAGCATCTCCCATTATTATAAATAGCGTGATCGAAGTCAAATCTCTCACGTGATTGTCGTCAACCTCTTGAAAATGACGAACCTGAAAAGCGGGAAACTCAAAACCAAATAGGGTTAAACCTTCCCCACGCATACACATCAATTCGTGTCTCTAATCCACAAATATCTTCTTCCAACTATAGCCGTATGGAAGAGGTTAGGTCAACCTCCGCCTGGGTTGCCTCTCACTCCTCCCATGTCCTCATCGACTCCTCAGGTTCTCTGATGCGCCGCCATTGTTCCTTCCTTCTCAATTTTCTGCTACTGAGTTGAAATTGCTTGCTAAATTGGTTCCACATTGTGTTGCTTTGTTGGTTGAATTTCCTGTTTTCGGATTTGAAATTGATCGATCGAGGCTTTTTATTTTCCTTTATTACAGGCATTGAGAAATTTGCGGAGGAAATGAAAGATTCAATCCCGAAGGTGGAGTGGAATTTCGAAGGGATTCATTATTTTGATGATACCCCTCTCACTGTTCAGTATCTGCTTGTCCTGGATGCTCTAAATTTCTGCTTTTGGCCTGGTATATAAGTAATATCATGATTTTTCTGAATTTTATTGGCTAGATATATGTCGGGTTACTCGATTCATGCAAACCCATTTGAATTATGTTACATGGGTTTGATGGAAACTCTGTAATTCGATTGATTATCGGTATTTTTGAACCTTGTGTTGCGTTCCCATGTCTGGTCGAATGGCCGTTTATTTGTATAATGTACAAGACAATAGGGTTTAATGCTGACCTTCACCACTCGTGGTTTTTTTTTTTTTTGGTTTCTTATTCTTTTTTTGGTTCTCCCGACTGTAGATAATGAATTGAGTTATGATCATTTGGCTGCGGGATTGAAGGAAGCACTTGAGAATGATAAGTCTGCTTTTGATGCTGATCGTCTGCAGAAGTACACAGGTACAGATGCAGTACAGTATTTGCATTAGGCATTTCATTGTTAAGTACTTTATTTTGCCTAATTATCTTTTAAAATGAGTTTCATCATAGAGTTTTGAATACAATCATACAATTATGAAGTCATTTTGACAGAGGACTAGGATTCTTTTGAAAAAGAACGAGTCTTTCTGTTGCAAATGTAGCCTTGCAGTGTTTTAATTATTGTCTTCGTCAAAGTTACTTGGTTCACACTGAAGATTATGTTTAACAGGTCCTGATTTACGTAAAATGTTGAAATGGCCAAGGCCGTTACCTTTGGAGGATGAACGAGTGCGCTTAATTCATGAGGTGCTGGATTTTGCAAAATGATAATATGTGTTTTTCCTCACTTTGAGCTATTCTTCAATTTTTTAAAAATATTTCCATGGCATTTCTTTTGTTTAGCTGATAATTTTGTCGTGGTTGTCTAGGTGGGGTTTGAACTGGAGAGATCTTTTGACGGGAAAGCATCCAAAATCGTTGAGTCCAGTGAGAAATCTGCTGCAAAACTCGTGGCTCTCATCACTAGCCACTTTCCTGGTAATTGAAAATCATTACACTACTTAAGCCAACTTCAACGGCTTTTTTTTTTAAATCTTCTCACACTTGAACCTTTAACTATCCAGCACTAAAATATGCAAAATTAAAGCTGCGTACAATTTTTGCAGGTTTCAGGGATCACACAGTGTACAAAGGTCACCAAATTTTCTTGTATAAAAGAGCTCAGATATTTGCTGCAGATTTATGGGGTGCATTCAAAGGTCAAGGGTATGGTGAATTTAACGACATAGAATCCGTGACTATGTTTGCAGACTATATCATCCCTGCAGTCCTTCAGCAGCTTGGAGTACTGAAATTTAGTCCTTCACTAACGAATATGATTGAGTTTAATAAGGAAATCGGTTCAGGAAGTGAGGAGGAAGTTGAACTTAGGGCATGCACTGTGCATGCTGTGGAGGAAATAAGGGAGTTGATCCACAAGAAATCAGGAAAGCAGGTCGAGTTTTATTTGCCTCTGTTTTATGTTGAAATTGTTTTTCTTTTACTCCAGGGTTAATAATGGAGAATAACTGGAGTCTAATTTGGCGTTTTAGAGATTTGAATTTTGTGGTCACTATTCAAATGGTTTTCTAGTACATTTGTTAGTGATGTTTTTCTTTTTTGGAATCTATATTAGGACACGGGACTGAGTCACAGAAGTCGCATACACTATAATAAACCTTATTAGAGAAAACTGACCAATTTTTGATAATAAAGTCTGTTTTTCCAAAGTGGCAAGTTGCTTAAACTTCTGCTGTACCTGATTTTATCAGCAAGTGAAGATGCATAAATTGTCTCCATATTTCCCAATGATTGTAGCTTTGAAAATGTTACATATTTTGTCATTCTTAGTTCCCTTTTTAGTGTTTTAATAGCTTGAATTTACTTGTAAACATCTGTTTCTGCGGAGCTCAAAGATTGATTGACTTAAGAGAGTTCCTTATGGTAAATCTACCTTTATGTGATGCTTGCTTGTGAATATTGTTTGTCTCCTGAAAATCATGCAGAGTTTGCAACTAGTAGTTATTGTTTAGTTTCAATAAAATTCAATTTCGTGCGTAACTGGTGATAATTCGCTTATCTCTAATATTATGTACACCTATTTTAACCAGTAATCACGGAGAGCAGGTAGAAATTAAGCTCCCCTTGAAGTTCTGGCTTTATCTTAAGCATTTGTGTATGTTTGTGCCTGTATCATAATTTTTCTTTAACTGTACAATCGTCCGGTAACTTGTTCATATTTGGTTTGTGTGCTCGCTTCATTAGTTCTTCAGGTGGTACTTTGATCATCCAATTTATGTATGATAGATACTAGCTAAAATGTTTTCTATCGAGATATCCTTTGGTATCTAGTTACGAACCGATTATCCATTATTCGTAAAAAGTAAATTGAGTCGATTTTTTTTTTTTT